AGAGTTAGAAACATCAATGAGAGAGAAACATTGATCAGCTGCCTCCTGCACACCCGCTACTGGGGTTGTGCCTACAACCAAGGTACATGCCCTTGACCAGAATCAAACCTGGGACCCTTCAGTCCACAGGCCAATGCTCTATCCAGTGAGCCAAACCAGTTAGGGCAATAATTATAATTTTTATAATATGAACTAGAGGCCCTATGCATGAAATTCGTGCACTGGAGGAGGGTGGGTCCCTCAGCTTGGCCTGCGTCCACTCGCAGTCAAGGACCTCTTGCTCCTTACTGCCTGTCTGTTCACTGCTCCTTAACATTCAGCTTGCTGCTCCTTAGTGCTGCCATGGAGGCGGGAGAGGCTCCCACCACTGCCGCTGCACTCACCAGCCGTGAGCCTGGCTCCTGGCTGAGCAGTGCTCCCTCTGTGGGAGCACACTGACCATCAGGGGGCAGCTCCTACATTCCGCGTCTGCCCCTGGTGGCCAGTGTGATCATAGCAACCAGTCGTTCTGGTTGTTCCACCATAAAGGTCGCTTAGGCTTTTATTATATAGATGTTTAAATGTGTCCTTCTGGATTTTCTATTGCTGTTTTTTTTCCCTCTCTAGGTGTCATGTGTTTGCCATTTTACTTGACTTATACTTCTTTTCTCATTTCACTATTTTTTTGTCAATGTGAACTTTGTAAAGTTTCTCATATCTATTTTCATTCTTACTACCACCGTTCTACCCTACATCCTTTTTATCTCTTTTATGAGTTTTTAGTCAACTGCAGATAAGCTTTTAATTTAATGTTACCTTGATATTGTGGGTTCAATTAAAGAGCCAGTTCTGATTTTCAATTGGTCAAGTTCAGATCTCAGCTTTTCAATTTCTTCTGCTAATCTTTCCTAAAAATCAAAGAAGTGTTACTTAAATGATATACCAATACCAATAATACCAAGACTCAATTATGATAAATCAAGCCAGCCACCAAGTTTAGTGGGTTTTTTAAAAATGAAAAAACTGATGGATATAATTTTATTAAAAATTATTCGTCATGAAAGTAAAGCATGCCTGATTTTTTCCCCTTGTAATGAAAATGTGAATGGCAGAAATCAACAAAACACTATCTATAGTTACTGGAATTCATTATTTTTTAATTAAAAAAAAA